TTGGTGGTTTGCGCACCCGCATGATCACCTCACATGCTAGTGACTAAGTTAAAATGAATCCAAACTGTCTGCCAAAACATTTTTTTTTTTGAAAAGAAAAGGTACCGAAAGGGCGTTAGACTAGACCTAGCGTAACCAAGTCCCCGAGCTTAGAATCTCTGGTTCGTAGGAATAAAACATATCTCCCTATGTTTTATTTAGGTTTCTAATCGACCTACCACAAATAGATTAGTGGCGACTCCAAGCATGAAAACTTTTGCATGTTAAAAACTTAAACCCTCAGTTGCGAATTGGTAGGGCTTGGGAGGGCTCGAGTTAGGTTTAGTCTTAATAATCCATTAGCCTGAGAGAAATTTTAGGTCGCGACACAAGCTTTGCACAAGAGAAGCACAGAGCTCATTAAATAAATCTCCACTAGGCTGAGCCTAATACCATGATATCCACAAACATCAATGCCATAGTGAGCATTTCTTTTTGTTTTGCTACCTTGCTAATGTCAAAGAGAGTTACAAACTCCGAAAAAATAGAGCAGCATATAACAGGGTACGCAGATAATGACGAAAACTCCATGCCCATCAAAGGAGATTGGTCAATGAGATATTAGTAACATAGATATATCCCCATGCATAAATCTCCATTGTATAGGTAAAATTATATTGCTATTGACAGATCCTCAAATAGAAAAGAAATCATTCACTCACAGAGACAACTTGAGTTGAGAGTAGACCTTCAAAATTCTTCAACTGAGGCGCTACCATTCTGTGATAGAGAGAGAGAGAGAGAGAGAGAGAGAGAGAGAGAGAGAGAGAGAGAGAGTTAACTGTACCCGAACTTTGTTTTATGACCATGATATCCATGCCCCAACGGGGGTGGAGGAGCAAGACAGGGAGAGGAAAGCATTTTACTTGTTCTTTATGTCTGCCTCCTTCTGCAAGTCTGGGAACATCGACAGTATGAACAATTGCTTTGTATCCACTTCTTTCAGCTCTTTGTACAAGCTGAGCTGTAATATCCCGTCTCTTGTATACCTGCATAAGGAGATGCACTCATTATGGAGATGAAATCTTAATGGAGAATATACAAAGCCAAGAAAACTGGAGATTCTTAATCAAACATATGCTTACATATATTTGAAAGAATCGAATGGCATCACAGCTGGACGCGACCTCTTCCACAGTGCACATAGACATATATGAAAGAATCTAGAGTAAAAAGTTGAATTGAGTATGTTATAGCAGAAAAATTAAGATAAAAAATATTTGGTAATATATTACCATGATGACATTACATGCAGCAGCTGCTCTTGCGGTAGTAACCTCTCCTGGAAGATGAAAAATTGCATCACTAAAATCAAAACAAGCAAACGTATGAAAGAGCTCCTCCAAGAAAATTCAGGTTTCACACCTTCAGGATGTGCTAACTTATGCAAAGCAGTTGGAGCAATCATAATGGGTGCAGCAACATTATAGCCCAATATAGTAGTCGACAAACTAATTTTGCTCACATCAATGAGGATTCTCAGCCTAAACCTGCCAGAAATACATGTGTTGAGAATTAACAAACAACATAATATGGTTGGTGCAGATTTTAATCTGACCAGCATTCATTAGGCATTACGTTATTCTGCGAAATGCTTCCACATTTTCTTTAAGTGTATACTGGTCTTCCGCTCCACCTGCATAAAAATCATAGTACATTTTCGGAAGGGCTTGCCTAGCCAATTCTTGATACTCATTCACGTTGACAGGATCCTCGGCCATGTTTCCTGAATGAAAATATAAAGTGTTATTAACTCAACAGCTTAACAATTTCTCCTACATGTGACTCCGCGAATTTTGATTGTCAACAAAAAGGCAACAACAATAGCCCTGCAAATACTCTTCCCTTCATATATGGTCCTGGATCAAGATGCAAGTTATAAACAAAGTAATCGTTAGTCAATTGAGTTCAGTTGAGATTGACTTTGAAGATGAGGTATGTGCTTTGATTCTATTATCCTCATTGCCTGATAGTTGGAATACTACTATTACTGCTGTTAGTAATTCCTCTGGGTTAACAAGTTTAACTTTTGATGGTGTTCGAGATTTAATTTTAAGTGAAGACATCCGTAGAAGAGAATCTGGTGAACATATATCTACTGCCTTAGTAGGTGAAAATAGAGGAAGAACTGGTACACGTGTTAGTAGAAGTAGTATAAACATGAATAGACGAAGTCCGTCTAAGACTGGTGGTGGCGTCTATTGGAGCTGTGGCAAGAGCGGGCATCTTAGAAGGGATTGCTTTAAGCTGAAAAACGACAAGGGTAAGGAAATTAGAGTTGAGTCTACGGATGATGTTGCAGCTATAGCAGACAATAATTCTGATGGTGTTGATTATGTCTTGTCTGTCACTAATGATTTGTTGTTTGGCGGATGGATTATGGATTCTGATTGTTCTTTTCACGCTACACCAAACAAAAACTTGTTTACTACTTATCAGTGCACGGATAGTAGTAAAGTGCAGTTGGGTAACAATTCTAAATGCGACGTTATTGGTGTTGGTGATGTGAAAATCAGAATGCATGATTGTATTGTATGGACATTGACTAGAGTGAGGCATGTTTCAGAGTTGAAAAAAAATCTGATTTCCTTAAGTGCCTTGGATTCAGCTGGGTGTCGATATACTTCAGAATGTGGAATTTTGAAGGTTCTTCGAGGTGTTTTGGTGATAATGAAAGGAATCAAGCATAGCGGCCTGTATGAACTTCAAGGTGAGATAGTGACGGAATTCGCTGCGGAGACGTCGGATACATCGATTCGAGAGTCTAAATTGTGGCATATGCGTTTGGGGCACATTAGCGAGAAAAGCCTGAAGGTTCTAAGTAAAAGAAATTTGCTGTGTGGTTATGTAGCTAACGAATGGAATGTATGTAGGTGCTGTGATTTAGATTAACGGCGGAAAATGCAATTCAGTACGGTTGTAAGAGAAACCATAGATATTGCAGAATTAATTCACTTAGATGTTTGTAGATTGTCTCGATTTTCTTCGAGGAAGAGTGTCAGATTTATGTTAACAGTTGTTGATGACTACTCAAGGAAGACATGGGTGTTTGTGCTTAGACACAAGTTTGATGATGTTGTCAGGATCATGCGGTTAAAGGCTTTGATTGAAAAGGAGACTGGTAAAACGATTAAGCAGGTGCAGACTGACAATGGTATGGAGTTTTGCTCGAAACTGTTAAACGAATTCTACATGAAGGAAGGCATAGTGAGACACCGCACTAGTGCCAATGAACCACAACAGGTTGCAGAATTGATGATCAGAACATTAATAGAGACGACCCATAAAATACTTTCTAGTGCTGGTATGGCTAGGAGATTCCTGGCGGATGCGCTTAGTACGGCAAGCTACCTGAAGAATAGATCCTCATCGACTGCGATTGGATGTCGGACTCCCGAAGAAGTGTAGTCAGGTAACGTTGCTGATTATTCTGTTCTTAGAATACATGTTATGTTCGAGTTAGTGATGGTAAGCTTGATGGAAGGGCAATGAAGTGCATGTTCCTAGGTTATGCACAAGGTGAGTGGGGCTATAAGTTGTGGTGCCTGGAATTAAATTCACCTATTGTCAGTAGAGAAGTTACATTTGACGAGTCTCCAGTACTTCTAGGTCGGAGTGTTTGTGGCAGTGTTCATACGGATTTAAATGGTGTTCAACTTGAGGTGGAGTTGCAACCAGAAACTCCTGAGGTAGCAAGTACTAGCGAAGTAATTGACATAGATGGTGCTTGTAGTGAGGTGGAGCCTGTAGAGCCAACAGTTGCTGTAACTGCTGATATTGACAAGGTGTGTATTTGATTTCCTGACAGATATGGATGCAATGTTGGTTTTGCTTTATCTGCGATTGAGGAGGTTGTGTCAGAAAATCCTTGTAGAGTAGTTAAAGTTGTATGTGGAGTTGGTGTTCTGATGAGGTCCACGGTTATGGCAAAGTTCAAGCAAGACTTGGACTTGGAAGATATCTGTGGCGGTTGAGCCCATTGAGGGCTGTGGGAGAGTAGTAGCGAAATTCGGATTCCATCAAAGCGATTGTGACTTGGCTCAAATGTCGAGTCAAGGTGGAGATTGTTAAAATATATCTCAAGTTTGAACCCGAAACGAAAATCTGAATATTTCGAATTGATATTTTGCGGACGTCCGAAATCGAGCATAGCAAAATACGATAACTGTTCTTTGGCAAGTTAAAGTCCGCGAAGAAAGAAAGAAAATATACACACGAATTGGTTTCTACGTTGAAGTCAAAGTTGGAGAAGTCTGATTGTGTCAGAAAAGGAAAGTCACAATTCTGGACTTTGTTTCCTAATCCCAGTCGGTGTGGACTCCTTATTCTGGACTTTGTTTCCTAATCCCAGTCGGCGTGGACTGCTTTGACTGAGCAACAATGGACTTCTTTACTCGGTGCATATATATATATATATATATGGCTCGTGCGTTGGTTTTGTGTGGAGCTCTGTTGTTGATGCAGTCCTCTTGAAGCGCCGCTTGCCTGCGAGTGCTTGGCAATTGGTTTCGTTCGTGAATTACATCCATGAAGAATTAGTGTTCAACCTGATTAAATTTTGTGTTGAGATTTGTGTACAATTCCTTCGCGAGATTGAGAGATTATTTCGTGAAGAATCATGGGGCTAAATACTGCGTGAGCTATTGGATGTAATTGGGGCTTGAGAAACACTTAGAGTGTTTGAGTGACTCGAGTGTGGTTGTAATCTCCGTTGTATCGCTTGATCTATAGTGGAATTCCGTGCTGCTCTCCCCGTGAACGTAGGTCACTACGACTGAATCACGTAAATCTGGTATCCGATTTATTTTCTTGATCTGTCAAATTTATTGTTCGATCGCTTGGCTTCCGCAACAGTCTTTGATAAAAATTTCTTTCTTACTTGACATGCAGTAAGGTAACATCACCACGTTTGTGTGGATTCTTTATGGTCTAAACTATACTGTATCTTTCTGCATCTGTAGGATCCATTCCGCAAACAAGAGCAGAAGCAGACCGATGCACAACCATTGGCCAAGTGATTAGAGGGAGGTGAACTTCACTCATTTCATTTTCTTTATCTGGGTTCCAAGTTTGGCTCTGGGGAAATGTATATGACTTGGAACCTCTTACCAGATTCTGCGGGACAATGTTTAATCTGGTTTGTCAATGTTCTTGAACCTTGTGTTGGAATAAAAGGCTAAAATTAAATTTCATTGGAGTACATGCAGGAATAATCGCTGTTACCTGCTGGCTTGGGCTACGAAGGTAGAAGTAGCAGCTAACAAACACAGTCCCCAAGGCTGCAGGAGGATAGTAGAGGATGACTTGGGGCAAAAATGTGCTCTCAGGACTTCACGAACACAGGAGCATCCAATCCATTAATCACTTCCAAAAAGTACCCATGTCTGTAATTAATTTTACCCAGCCTTCTGCTGGTGGGAAGCACTGTTCTTTCGCATCATTTAGAGGGGCATTCGTGATGATACTGACTTGACAAAGTTGCTTGGAAGGTAGTAGAGTCAAAAGACACAGATCAATGACATGTCTTACAAGGATTTGATGCTTCAAATTTAATGCTCAAAAGTACTATTTAACATTGACATCTACTGATGAACCAAGAAAAAACCAGCTTTGATTATCACAAATCTGTACTGATGCTCTGACTCTAACTCCAATTTTATTTTTGATCTTGAAACATGACAACTATTTACATAACACGGCAAACTACAAAGCGATAATACAACAAGGGTATCGTTTATTTACCTATATGAATCTTATCTTCATGGATGCTGTAGCGCGAATTTAAAGAGAGGAATGAAGTCTCTCGCGGTCTGTTATCACGTGGCCCCTGGTGATATCCTTTATGGTGGAACATCCAGATAGTGCCATCGTAAGCTCGAGCTCATCCTTTAGCATCTCAGTGACCCTTCTAACTCTAGTTTCCCCTTTTGCCGCCAACCCATTTACTACAGGCCTTCCTATCTGTAGTAAGAAGACTGCTATTAGGAGAATGTCAACATTTGTCCTAGGGCACTTGTTCATTTGTGATTCAGGTGTTTTGGCAATGTGAAAAGATACTTTCCACTAACTTGGCACAATAGTTTTACCCAAATGCCTCAAGGGTTTGTTACGATACCTCTTACTAATATAGCAGATAGTCCACATCGGGAAATATCAGGAATGTGCCAAACTAATTAAAAGATTGTACCAGAACTGCTTGTGCCCCAAGAGCCAATGCCTTGAAAACATCTGTTCCTCGCCGCACTCCTCCATCAACAAAAACAGGGACTTTCCCTTTGACTACATGAACAATCTACAAACGAAGGTTTAAAAACAGTCATGACCAAAATGCTGTTTGATATAGATGACTTGCTGCAGCACAAGCTTTCACGCATTTGTAAAAATAAAGGGAAACAGAATGCCACTGTGCTTTATTTACAGGGGGCAAAATTGGGTGCATTTAGGATGTGCATGGCAATGATTCTGTACTCGGGAACTAATTCTGCTCAGAAATGATTCTTTTTGATTCCGTGCCCGGGAATAATTTCTATGCATTTAAAGGCGCTTGGTAACTGCCCAAAATTTCTATTTTTGGAACAGAAAAAGAACAGAAATGCATTTGGCAACTACACAAAATTTCTTTTTATTAATAATATTTTAATAATATTTTGAATTTTTTAATATTTATTTCTCTTTTTTTTCTTTTTTTTTTCTTTCTTCCCCTTCCCTTCCTTGGCCATGGCCGGTCACCGGCGCTGGTGACCGGCCACAGGCCAAGGCCGGCGAGGGAGTCGCGGCCCTCCCCGCTGGCCTCGCCGTCGCGACCCATCTCCCTCGCTTGGGTCGCGATGGCGAGGTCGGCCTCGCCATGGTTGGTAGGGGTGTGCATGGTTCGAGTGGGTAGTTCCCACCCCGGAACCGTGGACCACCCGCTACAGGACCGGTTCCAAAAATTTGAACCGAGAATCGCCCATCTGATCCATGGACCTGCCCGAGAACCGGACCGCCGGTCCTGTCTGGTTCTTGGGCGGGTCCATGGAACCTGTCCCAACAAGTTTTCCAAGACAAATAAAAAAATAATCTGTGGACCAACATCGGATCAACAGAATAAAAAGAAAAGAACATAACTTTTCATATAATTCCTACACTATGATCGATTATATTAACCATATCATCCATAAATCAAGTGGGTACCCATCAATTATTGGGAAAAATGACCAAGGTATCCCAACTACACAAAAGCTTCAGACATGATAATAAATTTTCTTCTTTTTTTAAAATTTTTTTGGTCAGATTTTTTAATTAAAAATTGAAAAAATAAAATATATTATTATTATATTACCAGTCCGGTCCGGTCCGGTTGGGCAGGTGGACGGTTCCACACTGGGAACCGGCCCAAACAGTACCGGTTCCAAAAAATTGGAACCAGGAACCGGACCGATTCCCTTGGGAACCACCGGTTCCGGTCCGGTTCTGGGCGGTTTCGGGCAGTCCGGGCGGGTCCCAGTTCTTTTGCACACCCCTAATGGCTAGGTGAGGCCTCGCTATCGTGGCCGCGAGCCGCCTTCACCCAGGCGGCGAGAGGGGTCCTCGCCGAGGCCACGAGCCGCCCTCGCCAGATCTGGCGAGGGTGGCGGCGAAGGTTGCCCAAGCGGTGAGGGGGACCCTCACGGTTGCTAGCCACCGGCGAGGGTCGCGACACCCTTGTCGGCCCTGGCCTGCGGCTGGTGGCCGGCGACCGGCCATAGGCCAGGAAGAAGAAGGAAAAAACCAAGAAAAATAAGAAGAAAAGAAACTGATTCTCATTTTTGTTCCTAGAATCAAAAAGCTACTTTTTTTTGCTTCTTGATTCTGTTCCAAAACTGATTCTGGGAACAAATTTTTGCAAATTTGTGCCCGGGAACAAAAAATTAAACAAATGGAATTCTGTTTCAAAACTGATTCTAGGAACAAAAGAACAAAAATTATCACTATTTGGTAAGTTGTCATGCGCACCCTTACTCTTATCCCGCATTTGTAAATGCTCCAAATTGTAGAATCTATTATTAAACTTGCCGGACAAAGGAGTTAGTAAAAATACGGCAAAAGGACACTACAAATGCTATAAGTTGTGTACAGAGATCACTTTGGTGCGATAACTTTTTTTCGGATCACTTTGGTGTCAACTTTTTTGAAAAACGATCACTTTAGTACCAATGCTGACATGGCCGCCGTAAATCTGACGTGACTCTTTTTTTATTAATATCCAATGCTGACATGGCTCGCCGGAAATCTGACATGACTCGCTGGAAATCAACTTTTTGGCCGGAATTTTGGCTGGAGTCACTAAAGTGATCTCTTTTCCTCCGACTTGGCACCAAAGTGATCCGAAAAAAAGTTATGGCATCAAAGTGATCTCCGTACACAACTTATGGCACTTATAGTGTTCTTTTTCCGTAAAAATACGCACCTCTTCCGGAACTGATATCGTGGCTGGACTATAATCTAGCTGTCAAGCTCCATGATTCGAGACAATTATCCCAACTGCACCTGCTTCCACTGCCTTAATTGCTGCCAATGAGGGCATACAAGCTTGTTGATAAGGTTATCGAGTATGCAACAACTAATAGTAGTAACAACAGATACAGTATACTGAGAAGCAATATGAAATGTCAATAGATGAATAAGATGCTTCAATCCAATATCAAAATGAAGACAAAAAATTCCATTACCATCAAAATTCCTAGCTCATACGACTTCCCCAACAGAATAACTATGGTGTTTGAACTACCAAACCAATTGAGGCATCATGTTGTTTCCTTTCAAGATGAACTGAAGAATCTTCAAAGTTTAATGCTAGAGGTCACACTCTACAAACTAGATATACAATCAAACCCCAAGTTATCACAAAATTCTCCTGCGCTGAACGGATTTTTTTTAAGTTCTACATTAAGCCTCAAACTGCTTTTCGCACTATCCTGACCTTCAGTGTCAATTAAATCGTACCTAACTGTTCGCTATGGTGTCAATGTATTGTATAATACGGATGGAACTGTTTATAGGGTGATGAACTGGCAATGACGTGGTGCTCACTATAGACCTCATATAAAATAAAACAACAGCACACACACTATTCTGCACTAATAAAAAAACCCTAACAAATTCCATCAAATCTAGCACAAATGAGAATGCAAAAATAGATTATGGCACAGTTGACAAGTTCTCAAGCCGTCATTCTTGACTTTCCTTTTAAATACAATGATCCCTTTGGTCATGTATGCAAATGTGCTTAAATACTTTAAGGACAGTGATTGACATCACATATCAAAGTATCAAAGATCTATGGCTATTTCTCTATCTTCATCAGTAATCAAATTTCCCCAACAATAGATTGGCCTGAACTATAAAGAATTCTTGAATTGATTAGGCGGGCTATCTCTTTTTACTATTTACTCTGAGTCATTGTTTAGCATTATCCGCATTCTCCAAATACAGTAATCAATTACGTGTGGAACTGCATCAGACTAATATCTCTTAATCGTTTTTTATTTGCCTCACCAAAATGCACACAGGATTTCACAAGGTGAATACAAGATTCGCTCAACATCTAATGCGGCCAGAAAGTCCAGAACGGTCAATTGAGATTTCACTCCTAGTTTAATTGACCTTGCTATTCTTGGGAGATTTTTTTTCACCTAAATTGCATAGTTTGGATTTTGCATCAACTATTGTCACGACTAATGCAGAACGAAGAACAAATATTCAATTCAAGTAAGAAATAAATTGTAGAGCTTAAACCTGAGCACAGAAAACTCATGTGGTTCGGTAGTTTGTCTTCTTAAGGAGAAGTCAATGAGAAGGTTCCACTGTAATCGGCAAACAGAAGATTTACAATGGCTTATTCATACTAGTCAAGTTTTTTCCACTCCTAAATAACACCCGAATCCACAAGAATCAATTGCCAGAAAGGATCTTTCTCACTCTCCTTTCAAAAGCTCTCTAGCATTCTTACAATATAGGTATTAAAATAAAAACAAAAAATAGAGTTTAAAACGCGTTTGGATCAGGTCCGTGTCGGGGGCTGGGTGTCCGACCAAGATAGGCCCGGACATCCGGGCACTATGTCAGAAAACAATTTCAGTTCTGGAGGTTACACGGGTGTCTGGCAACCCAACCCACTTCTTGCCAGGGTGCCGGCCTAGTTGCCTAGTTTATCCAAGCGCTTGGGGTGC